GACTGGGCCCAGAAAATGTACCAGACTGTGGGCGCGCAGGCAGGACACGCCTCCTGCGAGCGGGCGCGGCTTGCCTTAGACAATAAGTTAAATCGCGTAAATCACACCCGTTTCTGAAAACGGCTCCAGGCCTGCTGGCCTCTGGGGCACTGGGCGTGGGAGAGATGGGACTCTGGCTGGATGCCCTGTCGCGGGAGGGCATCTGGGTGCAAGCGGTTCCCCTCCCAGAACAGAAACTGGGAGCCCCTCTCAGATGGGGCAGAAACTAACACTGAAGCAACGCCCCTCCCGAAGCTGGACTGTGGCACAAAGTGTCTCAGGCGGAGAAAGGCCGAGGTTCTAGCCCAGCACCCTTGGCGGGTCAGATCCGAGGAGCACCCTGCAGCCTCGCCTTGGCTCCCCCCATGAGGGGTACAGGCAGAACTTCCTACAGCCTACTTCCTGGGCCTCCAATACTAGTCTCTAACATCCGAGGACTGAATCTGTGAGGTCACCTTCACCGTGGTGTCTGCGGCTCGAGCCACCGAGGGGAGAGAGGTGGGGTGATCGCCGAGCGACTCCTGTACCTCCCTGACCTTGTCCAGCTCTCGCCCCCGGGGGGGATTAGTGTCTAGGTTACTCTAGTATGTTGCCACTTCCTGGTGGCCTTGCCGCCCCCACAGCCCACAGATATAAAGCCAGGTAAACGAGGCAGGGGAGGCACCAAGGATGGAGACGCTCCAGGTAAGACTGTAGGGCCCCTGGGCACCTTCCAACTCTGTCCAGGCCATAGTGGGCTTTGAGGGACAGTCGTGTGACCTGGTGAAGGAGCCGTCTTCTAGAAGGTGTGACAGCCAGCAGGATTTGGGTGGGGCAGTACCTAGGGGTGGGTATCTGAAACACCAGACACCTGGGGTCCCTTGTGCCATGGGGTGGGCCTTGAAGGCAAGTGTCAGAGGTGGGAGTCAAAGTGAAGCGGATCCTTCATGGAACACATCAGATGGGGTCCATGGGTCCTTGAATGTGGGGTGCTGGGAGGGCCAGGGCCAGGGCTGAGGTCTCGGGCAGGCTGACACACTAGACTCATCCCAGGGGCTGCTGCTGTGGCTGCTGCTGAGCGCAGGGGGGGCGAGGGCAACCAGGGAGCCGCTGCGGCCACTGTGCAGGCCCATCAACGCCACCCTGGCCGCCGAGCACGAGGCCTGCCCCATCTGCGTCACCTTCACCACCAGTATTTGTGCTGGCTACTGCCCCAGCATGGTAAGCCGTCCGGGGTAGGCAGGGCCCGCACTTCTGGCCCAAGGATGGGGCTCCCACCTCAGTGCTGGCGGGAAGAGCCAGTCCGAGGAGATGCGATGGCATTGGGGGGTGGTCTGCCCCCATGGGTAGGGGCTGGGAAGGGAAGACGCAGAGGGGATCTGTGGGGAGCTCAGGTGAGGACCTGGCTCCAGGCAGATGCCAATGACCCACCCCCATGGTCCCCAGGTGCGGGTGCTGCCAGCTGCCTTGCCGCCTGTGCCCCAGCCGGTGTGCACCTACCGTGAGCTGCGCTTTGCCTCCATCCGGCTCCCTGGCTGCCCGCCTGGTGTGGACCCCACGGTCTCTTTCCCTGTGGCACTCAGCTGCCGCTGTGGGCCCTGCCGCCTCAGCAGCTCTGACTGCGGGGGCCCTAGAGCCCAGTCCTTGGCTTGCGAGCGCCCACACCTCCCAGGCCTCCTCTTCCTCTAAGGACCCTTCCCCGAACTTTTGCGGCCACCCCAACTCCTAGAGCCACCAGATGCTCTGTTCCTCCCCTCCCAATAAAGGTTTCTCAACCTGCTCTGCCGGGTGTCTTTCTGTGTGGCTCACGGCGACAACACACACGTGACGGGTTCACCTTCAAATCATTTTATACAAAGTCACAGTGTCAGAACTCTGGTAGAAAACAGGGTGGGGATGGGGTGACATCCAGCTCAGGAGGTGTCCATGGTTTCGCCTTCTGTGGGGAGAAGGGAGGCCACATGGTCAGTGTGGCCCGGAGGGCAGGGCCTGAGCCTTCTGGGCCAAGCTCCTACTTCTGCCACTGAGGATGACACTGGGAGTGCAGTGAGCAGGGTGGAGACACTCACTGAGCTCATTGAAGAGGAAGGCGTCCTGGTACTCCTTCATGTACTGCGTGGAGCGAGACTCGTCCAGAAAGAGAGAATAGACGCGCTTGATGTCATCGACCTGCACCTCTGTGCCCTGGTGAGAGAGGGCCAGTCCTCAGTGGGGCCCCTCCCTGGGAGGCCCACTGCACACACACCCCAGCCCATGCCACTTCAGGTTCCAGAGGAGGGATTCTGGGCCAGATCTCCTGGGTCCCAACCCTGCCTCGGCCACCATTTGTAGAATGGACTTAACAGCATCTGTTTGTAGTCAACAGATATTTACCGAGCACCCACATGTGCCAGGCCAGAAGATGCAGAAACAAATGTGAAGAAAACTCCCTGCCTTAGAAAACATACGGTCCTGGACTAAACTTAACCCCCTGGAAACCCCTGGCACAAGCAGCACGTCACCCACTCCCTCCATCTGGCTCTGCTGGCTTATCCAGCCCTGACCTTGCGCTTCCGGCACACCAGGCTGGCGGCCGTGATGAGCTGGATGGCGTAGCGCAGCGACGTCTCCAGCCCGATGCGCGTCAGCACGGTGTAGGCATCCTCGCTCATCTCCACATCTTCCTCCTCGCACCTGTGGGCAGGTGGGGCGGGGCTGGCTCAGTCACAGCCAGGCCTCGAGGAAGTAGCCAAGCAATTCCCTGGTCACCTCCCTGGGCATATGTGGAGCCTGCGCCTCAGAAGCACAGGCTGCTAAGGCCAGAAGGGCCACTGAGGCCTGGACTGGGCTGGACCACACAGCCCGGCCTCCTGACCCCCACCCAGCTATGCCCCCCCCCATCAGTCATCGGTACCTCCCCTCCATTGACCCCCGCCCCTGGATCAGAGGCCCTGCCTGGATGTCCAGTTCAGTCTTTCCTCCCGCAGGCCCAGCGGCCTTGGGCCAGTCACACCTCCCAGCCTCAGACCGCAGGGGCCGTGTTGGTCAGACAGGACAGACCCCAGCCCTGCCCCTCAGGCGCACTGCCGCACCGGATGCGGAGGATCTGCTTCGTGTCCTTCTCACTGTAGGGAGTGGTGGAGACGATGAGCAGCCGGTCCAGCAGGTCGATGGGGATGCCGTGAGGGCTCTGATAGCTGGTGCCCCGGATCCTGGGGAAGGGGTACCGTCAGGGCTCCACGTTCCTTCTTCTGGGAATACTCCCACCTCCCTGCACAACCCACTCACTGGGCCAAAGACACTTAACCTTCAGCTCCCAGCTCCTGACGTCACCTCCTGCCTTCCCTGACTGTGCCACATCAATCCCTGAGGGCACCCTCCCACAGAGCTGGGGCGGGTTTTAGCTAGATATCTATGTCCAGGATTACTAGATCAAGGTCCCACTTCCAGCCGGGTAGTGGCTCACACCTGTGATCCCAGCACTTTGGGAGGCTGAGGTGGGAGGACTGCCTGAGCCCAGGAGTATGAGACCAGACTGGGCAACATAGTGAGAACTCATCTCTATAAAAAAATTAAAAAATGTAGCTGGGTGTGGTGACACATGCCTCTAGTCCCAGCTACTCAGGAGGCTGAGGCAGAAGCATCACCTGAGCCCAGGAGGTCGAGGCTACAGTTAGCTGTGATTATGCCACTGTACTCCAGCCTGGGCAAGAGTGAGAACCCCGCTCAAAAAACTAAAACAATTTAAAAATAAAAATGATCCCACTCCCTTGCTTGACACTAAGCTCCACAAAGAAAGGGACCGTGCCTGTTCTGTCTCCTACTACACAGGACCAGCCCAGGGCTGGTGCCGGGAGATACAGACAGTCCTCCTTATTCACAGCATTGGGGTTCCAGAAAGTCACTGCAAACACTATTAGCCAATCCTGAACCACTGCTCCGGGGAAACAAGGAAGGGTAGGTTCCTGTGAGCCTCCTGTCACAAGATTTTTGTCAGTCGATATGTAATGTTGGCTTATGTATATTTCTGTTTAAAGACAGCCTGTTTAACACACACTGTGGATCCACCAACACTGAGCTCACACCAACAGCACTCTCACTTGTGCCTGAGCAGAGCTTCTGGAACTCACGTATTTTCTCCATAAGGCACATCACAGCCTTCTCACACTTAGGAACACTGGACAGCACTTCAGCGCTATACTTGGGACATTTAAACAGCAAAATCACCAACAAAAGGCACAAACAAGTGACAAACGTAGCTCTACATAAAACAGGAAAAGACACAGGTTTACAGCATGAACTGAAGGATGTAGACAGCATTGCCTCACTCAGACTCAACTGGGAACGTGGGCATCAGGCAATCTGAATTTTTTGCCAAAACCAGTGTAAATATTCACTTGGAAATTACAAATACATTTCAGCAGACAAGCAGATTCTCCAGGACAGAATCTGCAGACAATGAGGACTGACTGCATCTGCTGCCTTCTCACAGGAGATGCCCGTACAGTCGCACGCCCTGATCTGCAGCTGCTGCACACATGCTGTCAGCCTGGGGTGTCTCTTCCAGTGCCCAGCCACTCGGAGATCAACGTCTGGCCCTACCACCTTCTAGACATGAGACCTTGGGCAAGTCACTGACCCTCGCTGTCCTGACCTGTCAAATGGGCTGAGATCACATCTACCTGCTGAGTGTCTTCTGAGGGTCCAAGGAGTTCATCCAGGAAGAGCCAAGCCCAGAGTTGAGCACAACTGCCCACCATCCCAGCAGTCATGCCCCTTCTTCCCTTTCTTGGTGCCTACCCCCGCCCACCAGTTTCAGCCAGGCACATGGCTGCAGCACAGAAGTCGATGGTCCCCGGCCTCCCTCGCAGCCAGGCATGGCCACACACCAAGCGGTACCGGCAACAGGATGTGGGTGGCGGTGCAGATGCAGCCTCCGATCACAGCCCCTGGCTGCCTGCTGTCCCCTTGCCTCTCCCTCCTGTGGGCTGGAGCATGGCTGAGGTGGCTAGGAGAGCCAGCGGGGACAATGGGGCACAGATGCTGGCTGAACCTTGGGTAGAAGCTCCCAGGTTTCATCACTGCATGGTGGTGCCCTTTGTGTCTCAGGAGTTTTTTCCTGGCATCATTAGGTCAAAAACAATACCAGGAGTTCCACTGACAAGGTAGTTAGGGCTAAGTGACTTGACAACTGTAGTGGTTTATGTAGTGTCTAACAGAGGTACTGTGGTTCCCTCAAAATGCAAAAGCACCTCACGGCAATCTTGTGAGTTTCCTGCAGCAGCCTGGGGTGCCTCAGCACACAGTTTGGAAACTGCAGCCGTAGGGGTTCTAGGAACAGCCAGGCAGAAAGAACGCACCCCTGGACTTCCTCACGGAGCAGAGTTGCCCAACTGCCCACCTGCTTAAGGGCAAAGCACACCCTTCCTGTGTGAGCCACTACAGTTATGGGTGCCCCACCTAACACGGTGCTCAACACCCACTGCCCAGAGCATGTTTCCCCAGAGGACCCTGTGGCCACTTACCGCGTGATCCCACGATTGGTGGCCATGATGAGGACAGGTGCCATGTCACTCTCCAGGGCCCGGTTGAGGAAGGAGAAGCTCTCAATGTCCAGCATGTGGACCTCGTCAATGAACAGTACCTGGGAGCCATTAGGGTGTGTCAGACTCCATGTACACCCCCTGTTCCCCAGTCCACCCCATACCCTGATGCCCGGCCATGTCCTGAGGACTCACCCCAGGGATGATCTCTGCCTTGCCCTCCTCACGCCACTCGGCCACCTTGGCATTGATCTGTTCACGAACTTCTGACTTGATCTCCCCTGTGTCACCTGCGGGAGGCACAGGTAGCATCAGGAAGTCAGAGAGGAGACATGGGTCTGGGGCCAGAGGGTGGGCAAAGACAGAGAAAGACAGATGCCGGGGCCCGAGGAAGGGGAGCAGAGGAAAAGGAGGGCCAAGGAGCCTGAAATGTCCCCAAAAAGAAGGAATAGCAGCAGAGGACCCAGGAGGAGAGAGGGCAGGGACAAGCCCCCATCACAGCACCGGAGAGGGGACAAGAGATTGACGGAGAGAGAGAAAATCATGAGGCAGGTGGGCCACAATGGGAGCCCAAGAGCAGGCAGAGGGGGTAGGATGGGCAGCAGGGGCCTCACCTGAGAAGAGAGCCAGGAAGCCCTGGGTGCGGGAGTTGATGACGTCGATCTCGTGCAGGGACACTGTGTGCACAACCTCCTTGCGTTTCTGGAGCTCCCCATCTGGGCACTGCACAAACTTGGTCTACGGGGCAAGGGCAGAGAAGGGCATGAAGCAGGGGTCAAAAGCCTGTCTGGGGAGACTGTCGTTCCCTGGAATGGTGCTGCGAGGCTAGATGGGGTCATCCAGAAGCCCCAGACCCAAGAAAGATTCAGGACTAAGGGCGTTTAGAGCAGTGAAGGTTAAGGAGGCTTCTGGGGACCCCAACATGGGGTGACACGGGAGGTGGGGGGAGTGCCAGGTTGAGGGACCCCAGCTGTCCCAGGGTTCCAGGGAAAACCCAGGAGTACCAGAGATATAAGAGTCGGGGCATAAGGAGAATCCAGACCCTGTGGGCCATGGGGTGAGGGAGAAGATGGAAGCATGGTGCTGGGAACGAGGAGCTGGGAACGAGGAGTCCCCAGAGCCCTGAACGTACCTGGGAGCCCATGGCATCGTAGTCACGGGCGCGTGTGAAGGAACGGCCCAGCTTAGAGATCTTGCCAGTCGCCTTGTCGATAGTAATCACATCCCTGCAGGGGGAGGGAGGGAAGAGGTGAGAAAGGAAGGAGGCCCGAGCTCCACCACGGCCCTCACCATTCAGCACAGCCCCTGACTGCTCACCCAGCCTGGACCTTGTCCTTGGTCAGGGACTCAATCATCTTGGTGCCCAGGTCGTAGATGGTCTCCATCTCGGTGGTCTTAAGGGTCAGCTTGCCCACCTTGGAGCCCTGAGAGGGGCGACAAGCCAGAAAGGGGCTCAGAGAGGGCCTTGATGTGACATCAGAGCTCCCTGATAAGTTTAAATTTCTGATCCTCTTCTGGCCTTGGTTTACATGGCTTCAAAATGGGCATGAGGCCAGGCTCAGTGTCTCAGCCTGTAATCCCAGCACTTTGGGAGGCTGAGGTGAGTGGACGGCCTGAGCCCGCGGGTTCAAAACCCACCTGGGCAACTTGGTAAGACCTTATCTCTACAATAAAAATAAAAAATTAGCTGGGCGTGGTAGCAAGCACCTGTAGTTCCAGCTACTTAGAAGGCTGAGGCGGAAGGATCGCCGGAGCCCAGCAGGTTGAGGCTGCGGTGGCCGTGAGAGGCCAGTGTACTCCAGTCTGGGTGACAGAGCGAGACTCCAACTAAAAAAAAAAGAATGTGTGGCTGGGCTTGGTGGCTCAGCCTGTGATCCCAGCACTTTGGGAGGCTGAGGCAAGTAGACTGCTGGAGCCCGCGGGTTTGAGACCAGCCTGGGCAACTTGGCGAGACCTCGTCTCTACAATAAATAAAAAACCAGTTGGGCATGGTGGCGCACACCTGTAGTTCCAGCTACTCGAAAGGTTGAGGCGGAATGATTGCCTGAGTCCAGCAGGTCGAGGCTGCAGTGGCTGGGAGCGTGCCACTGCACTTGTCTGGGCAACAGAGTGAAACTCCAACTCAAAAAAAAAAGGGCATGACACAAGGGAGCTCCTGGGGATGAGAGATATGACATATCCATGAGCATGATGTGGTGAAGGCTTTGTGAGTATGCAAGTATGCCAGACTTGACCCATACTGTACACCTTCAACATGTGCAGCTTATTGTATGTCAGTTACAACTGAATACAGCTGTCAATAAAAACAGTAAACAAACCCATGCGTAAAAGATAAGATCTATTAAAAACAACAACAGACCAGTTCATGTCTATAATACCAATACTTTGGGAGGCTGAGGTGAGAGGATTCCTTGAGCTCAGAGTTCAAGACGAGCCTGGGCAACATGGCCAGACCTCATCTCTACAAAAAAAAAAAAAAAAATTAGCTAGGCGTGGTGGTTGAGCTCCTGTACTCCCAGTTACTGAGAAGGCTGAAGTGGAAAGATTGCTTGAGCCCAGGGGGTCGAGGCTGCGGTGAGCCGTGACTGTGCCACTGCAGCCAGCCTGGGAAACAGTGAGACTTTGACTCAAAACAAACAATCAGACAAACAAACACCACCACCACCACCACCACCACTGGCCTGAGGTCTCACAAAATGGCTGGGGGAGGGGGTCACACTTTAACATTCCTTTTTTATACCCAAATAAAGGGTATTTTTGTTGACCACAAAATCAGAAAACACAGCTAAGCATAAAAGAGAAAACAATTCCATGCTCACTTCCCACAGATAAGCATAGTTAACGTTTTTCAGTCCTTCCCAAATCTAACTCTGTTTTGAATTATCCCAGCAACAGTTGTTCCTTGGTGGGAATAAGAGGCAGATGAAAGGGCCAGGATTAAAGGAAAGCGTTAAAGGGAGTTTTAAAAAAATCTTTTTTAATTTTAAAGACGTAGGGTACAATTCAGGGTTAGATATGCAAATGCTCATTATGCAGGTACCCTTGTTGATGAGGTGTC